AGTCACAAAAAACGTCGTTTGGAAAAATCCAACCCCATTCTCTGTTCGATACTGTAGGCCCATTTTAATAGAATTCTCAAAGGAGACTCCAGAGAAAACAAGATCTATTGTCAATGAAGTGGAAACTCAAATAAGCACTCTTTTACCTTCTTTTGTAGTGAAGAATGAACAGCAGATGTCTATTAAACATGAGCTGTTCTTTACAATGATAGATGGTAAGGTTACACAAGTAGTAACAAATACTCCATCAAGTGCCACATGCCATATATGTCTTGCAAAACCAACAGAAATGAACGATTTGGAACGTGTTAAACAGAGACCTGAGAATGAAGAGCATTATAGATTTGGACTCTCATCTTTACATGCATGGATTGGATTTATGGAGTTAGTACTTCATATTTCATATAATTTATCATTTAAAAAATGGTCAGTAACCTCAGAGGACATGAAAAAGCAAAAGCAATCTAAAAAAGCTTATGTACACTAGCAGTTTCGGAAAGAATTAGGATTACTAATTGCTAAACCTTGACAAATCAGCGAAACTAGTAATGACGGAAATGCCGCTCGAAGGTTTTTTGCCAATTCCGCTTGCACTGCACAAATTACTGGAGTTGTAGAAGAATTAATTATGAGATTTCGCATACTACTTTAGACAATGTCAAGTGGTATGGCAATCAATGCCAAAAAGTTTGGTGAATATGCTTAACAGCCGAATTATATGTGAGCAAATATTCATGGTACTATATGCCCTCCTCTGTACATAAAGTACTCATTCATGGAGAAAACATAATTCGATATATTGCACTTTTATCACTTGGCCAGTTGTCCGAAGATGCACAGGAATCCAGAAATAAGGATTATAAACGTTTCAGGTTACATCATTCTCGCAAATGTTCCCGAAAAGCTACTAACAAAGATGTCTTTCATACTTTATTGTATACATCAGACCCTTATATAACGAGCTTAAGACAATCTGTTTCACGCAAGATTGTGGAACTTGAAGAAGAAGCCTTGCAACTAAAACAATAAATATTTATTTACATATAATTATCATTATACAATTATAAAATGAAATGTATAAAAACAATATAAAAATTATTTACCGTCAGACCTTTCTTTATATCTGTATACTGAATTTCATGTGTCTATAGTAACAAATAAAAAAAGTTACAGATTTTTGAGACGGCGCCTCCACCATCGGCCCATATAGTGCGCCGGGAAACCCTGAACAGCTGCTTTCATTCCTTAAATAGAATGGTCATCACTTTTTGCTTTGTAAAGCCTGCTGGCTAACCTTATTACTATTCTTGTATATATTTATGTCGAGTTATCTTCTTAGTTTTAGTTTATTTATTATATTTGAATAAATTATTATTTTTAGTTTTTAACTAGGCTTATTTGTATATATATTTTAATAATTTTTTTGTAAAATGCCTCATATAAGTTCCTGTAAAAATGTATTAACTTTCAATAAATGTTTTAAATTGGAATTGGAATTGGACATGTAAGTGATAGATCGGGAGTTCAACCCCACAGACGGCATTTTTTTTTGAATGACAGTTTTACAAAAAATATTGTATGATACATTTGTTAAAAGTGATTTTTATTTTGTTTGTGGGGTTGCTCCACTCACTACGCTCGCGCTCGTTCCGCAATATTCCCCACTCACAAAATAATGTCACTTTTAACGCTTGTATCATAAATAACTATTACGGAACAGTTAAAATACATACCTGGAATGTCTTAACATTTCATGAAATTTCCTGTACTGCGTTCAAGGCACTGACTGGTATTCCAAGGAATGGACAGACAATGCATGAATCATATTGGGATACGTGGATCGTAAAAACCTGGCAGCTTTACACTTGGGGATTCAGTCCCGCTCAAAAATGAGTTGTATGGTGTTATACAGGGTGTTTTATAAGTTAACTGATTAAAAGAAGTTCTCAACGTTACCGTGGTTGCAATATAAAACAGAATGGCGTCTAACTTCCATAAATTGTTTTTTTTTTTTGGAAATAACTTTTAAAATGCAAAATACAGAAAAATCATAGAGACGAAAATTAAAGGACACGAAATTCTACACTAAAAATATTCTTAAAGAAAATTGTACATGAAAAGAGATTCAAAGCTGTGGGTTCGCGAGCCAAAACGCGAATGCCAAAATTATCTTTTTCTGTGCATTTCATCACAAAAAACTTTATACTTAAAACTTTTGAAGAAATGATCGAATCGTAATAAAAAAAAACAGTTTTAAAGGGTAAGAGTATTTTGTCGTTTTTAGAGATTACTTCATTAAATTATCTATATCTTGGAATATACTTGTTAATGTAACTAGTCCGTTTGGTTTTGGTGTCTTTATATGTCACTTTTCAATATCATGATAATCAAAAATGTGCAAATGTTCTGGACAGAAAATAAGTTGACCATATTTTTTGTAATTTTTGTGAACTTTATAATTTATAAAATTTTGATTTCAAAATAATGCTCTTAAATGATGAAAAATTAACATTAACACAGGAAAAAAAATCAAATTAACACTATATTTTCAAAGTTTTTTAATAAGTTTTATGTGAGATAAACTTTCCTTTTTTTAGAAGCCAATCTTTCACTCAAAATTGCTTTCTCTGTCTAAATGGTCTCTATAGTAATATTAAAAGTATTAAATAAAAACACCGTTTTTTTTCCTTTTTTGAAAGTAATCATATTTTTGTTATTTACTCACTCGTATTTAACATCCCGCTAAACTGTCGCCTCGTATCACCTGAGCGTGTGCAGTGAACTCTGAGGCCAACTGAAGTCCACGACCTGACATGCCGATGCCTGAAGGCCCCGTCTCTCAGACGTACTGCATAATGTGTGGCCGTCGACTTGGCCGTCAGTCCACGGACTGCAGGCGACCTATAAGTGAATGGATACCTAAGAACCTTATACCTACCTCTTACAGTTTCAAGATGGCAATGCTGTCAATTCGAAAACGAAACCATTCTGTATAATATACAGAAATATTTTGAAAAATCTCGTCGACTTCTCGTAATTTAATGACTGAATGATTTACTTAACTTTTCGTTTTATGTGAAAAATTGATAAATACGTTTCACTGAAAATGTCATGGATTCTAATTTTTCTGAATTTGATTCTGAATTTTTAAGAGAATATCTTGAAATGAATATGGTGTTGGTATTTTATTAGTTTTAGAAACAGAAATATAATATTTTCTTCCATTGCATAATGACGATTATTCTCTCATTAAATATGTATTTGTCGCGCCATTCGATGATTTGTATACACTGAGTGCTCTCCATATATTTTGACCGAATGAGTAAATATGCAATTATACAATACAAAGGACGTACAAAGTTTGAACGATTAAAAATATATGATTCACATTATTACGTGTACTGTATTAAAGAATCTACAAGATATTTTCCGAGCGTGATCAGGATGTGCGTTTTATGAAGCGACATTGGTTGTAAAATGTAAAATACCTATGACGTCTGAGTTCGGTTATGGGTTCGAGGTTTGACAAATTGAACAAAAATTCTGAGAAATTTGTAATGACTACCTAGTTTTACTAGTTATAATCTGCAAATCTCGTGAAGGTTATTGTTATTAGTTATTAGCTCTTATAACGGAAGTTCGAGACAGAAAGCAGCGATAAAACCCTAAGTGAGATTTGGATACGTAAACGTTTTTATTACTGGTGTAGATAAAGTTTAACTTTGCTATAATGAATGTGAAGTTCTAGTGTTTTTAATAAAATGTGTTATTTTTCTTAATAACAAATGTTAGTTAGATACTTAAAACTGGATATTTGAATGTTGGTATTTAAATTTAAATGTAAGTCAGTCACCGACTATCTCGGTGATATTAAAAAGAGTTAAAATGGGAATATTGATAGAATAATTAATTATCTACGTTGTTGTAATAATTAGTACAAATTATAATTTGCCAACAAATTAACTAACATATCTTATCTATTAATTTTTAAACTTAGTGATTAAAAATGAAACAAATATATCTTATACTGATATTTGGCGGATTTCTTTCTTCTGGTAATGGTAAGTGATAAATAATAATGTTTTGTTTACACGATGATTTTAAAATTATAAAAAATTCAAATCAAACCATTTGTAAGCAACTCTTGTCTATTTTACGGTCATAACATTTCTTTTAAATTAACTGAAAATCACTGCTTCCATTTTCACCAAATTGTGTTTAGTTTTTAAAGAGATGAGACATTAAAAAACTAAAATATTTAGAATGTGTCAAAACTAAAACTCACTGTAACTAACTTTTAGGGAAAACAAATAAAGTTGTGAAAATGATATAAATATAACGTCTATATTGCCATGGTAATGCTAATTATAAATAAAATTACTGCATTCGCGTTCACTCACATGTGAAAATCTGTCTACACGGATCCCACGCTTGCGCTTCTAGTTTGCATTGTGGGTATGCATTTTGTAAAAATGCAAAAACTATCAATTGATATTTTCTTTCCAAGCACTTCATTTGATATAGTGTGTCCAGAATTAACATTTCAAAATAGAATTTACGATCTAGTGTTTGTTTGCATACTACCAAATATTAATTGAAAATATATTGCTGCAAATATTTGTAAATTGTTTAGTGGGTAACATTTATTGGGGAAGATACTATAATATTTTAAATTAATTAGCCATAACAATGAATAACACCATGTAATAAGGAAAGTAAAAATAAGTAATGGATATACAGTTTATTTGAAACTTATTTGCAATATAAAAAACGTCATTTCTTTGATCCTTTACCGCCCTCAAAGAAACCGACTTTTTTTTATATTGCAAATGAGTTTGAAATAAACTATAAATTGTAGAAACTCATTTTAACAAAATGTGAGACAATTATCTATTATCTCGTAGTATTTTCTTCCTAATAAATGCTGACGATATGAATTAATCAATGAGAATATCATAAAGGGAAAACCACAAATGAAATTAAAATGAAATAAATCAAGTGCTATGTTTGGTGGCATAGTTGGCTGGAGCGTGCAATAGCAAGTGTGACTATAAATCTATCCATTGCGGGTTCGATTCCCGCCAAGAGCACAGGCATTAGACAGCTTCGGCTTTGGATTCGGTGATGTTTATTATTGTTATTATACATAGTTAGGGGTGCTTTGGGTTCCAATGTCTAAAAAGCAACTAGTTGTGGTGTGCACAGTGTATGGTGATTAGAAAAAATTTAATTTAACTTAGGTTTTTTTTTATCTTCAGTATAAATTTTTTATTATTCACATTTTTGATGAATAAGTTGTGTCTGAATTTTATTAGTTTTTTATCATTTCATCTGACATATTGAACCTCTTCAAAGCCAAGCAAAGCTTTATGTAATGGTTACTATGTGGGGGCAGTAACATATTTCGTACCTGGCGCATTCACCAAAAAATGCATCTGCCCGATTGAGCAATAATGACATGAGGATTGTCACAATGAGAGATACATAAAAAGAAAATATTACATATATTAAGTTAAAATAAAAAATAATAACTATCACACAGTGATTTTTATTCAATAAATATGTACCGGGTCTACCACTTAAGATGTAAGTCCCAATAATAATGTTATTATCTTAGATACCGAAAGTTGTTCTACATTAATCAAACTACAATTTAATATAATCAAAACTTATACTGGATGTTCAAATTTTTCCTAGTCAAATAAACATTATTGTAAACTTAATGATATTATTATATTTTTGGAGTTCATGTGGTGTAATCTCATTGTCTCATGAAATACACAGTACTCAACATTCCAAATTTATCCTTCAGATGCCATATTCAAAGTAACAGATTATATGTATACTGTTTAAATTTGTACTCCAATCGATTTACAACAAAATCTATTTATTTTTTTTGTCGTGTCCTTCAATAATAAAGATAATGTTACTTTGGCTATAGCATCTGAAGGGTAGATTTGGAGCACTCTGTATTTCACGAGATATTGAGAGTACACCCAAACATGTTTATATTTTTTGAAAAGCATCTTTCTCAAGGACTAAAAATATATTAATATATAGGGTATTCCATTTAAAAAATACAACTTTATTTGACAAGGAAAAATTTGAATATCCTGTAAAGTTTTGAACACATTGTAGTCTGATTGGTGTACAACAACTTCTGTAAAACTTTTTTTCTGTATATAAGATAATAAAGTTCTTATTTGGACTTTCATCTTTAGTGTACACCCGGTATATAATCTTACCACCAATGCATTACACTGATAGGAATAACTAGCCGTACTTCAAATAAATAAATAAATTAATAATATTAACAAAAAGTGTAAATTCTACTACAAATAATATAATTTATTTACACATTTTGTCATTCTATTTATACCCCGCTCCGACTATTAATAAAACAATTATTTGAAGAAAATACGGTAAAAGATAAGATTATATTACTAATTATAAATATTTACTTTTAGTATAATTTGTAATGAGAGATAAATCATTGACTAAAAATTTTTAGGAAATCATCCAGATTTGGTTAAAAATTGCAAACTCTTCTGAGGGTCAAATATTATATCAGTGTCTTGTTTGATAAAAAACAAATATAAAATATGGACGGAATGAAGGCAATCAGAATTAAATTGATTAATGACGAAAGAGAAATTAGTTCTCTAGAATATGTGCCAGTGATGTGCAATGCAATTTTATACGGTGAAGACAATTGGAAAAATATTTTAGTAATTTCGAAAGTGTATTTTACATATAGTTTTACATATCTATATAATTTACTTAAAATTATAATTTTAGTTTCGATTAGTTTTTCAAAATCTACAAAAATGTGTGTAAAAAAATGAAATGATAGTTTAGTTAATGTGGTTAACAAATGTTAATTGTGAATCAAAAAGGACACCAAGATCTTTCGCATTAGGTTTATGTAAAGGTGTATTGGATATTTTATTGTCAAATAGCATTTACTGACACTCAAAAATAGGTTGTTTTCGATGCCCAGTATGACGATAGGTGACACTCCGCTAGAGCCCATTCATTACTATCATTGGATGGGAGAGAGTAGGGTTTATACAAAAACCGACTTTTGGAGTAACCTGTTTTCGAATTTTGGTAAACCGGTAAAACGGGTTTTTAAATTTTGACAAAAAAAAACAACATAAAACAGTAAAAAAAATGTTTATACTTATATTAAAATTTTTCAGTTTATTTGATATTTTTATTGAACTACAAAAAATAAAATATACTCTATATATATATATATATATATATATATATATATATATATATATATATATATATATATATATTTTTTTTTTTTTTTTTTTATTATATATATATATATATATATATATATATATATATATATATATATATATATATATATATATATATATATATATATATATATATATATATATATATATATATATATATATATATATATATATATATATATATATATATATATATATATATATACACACACACACACACAAAACCAAATAAATAAAAAAAAACTAAAATAACTAGATTCCGTAAAATTTTTCAGTTCGTTTAATATTTATTCACGAGTTATAAGGGAAAATATACTATGACGTCACCCTCAAATTTGACTAGTGTAAAAATACAACTTTTTTCTTTTTGTCATACGTTTTCCGATAAAACTGATTTACATATTAACATTCTAAAATGAAATAAAATTTACTTCATCATGTATAAATTTCTGTTTTTCTGTTGTTTGGGAACGCTTCAGTTGATTTTTGCAATATAATATTATGTCTGCATAAAAGCCCTCACTGGAAACCGATACCTTCGTCCGAGCTCTAAGAATAATATAATGTGTTTGTGGATTTTCAAGTCAAACATTCGCCCGACTCATGAAGATTAGTCTTTCAGTAAACTTTTACCACAATATGCTTATGCCCGAGGTGCTTTCAAGTCAAAATGTTAACATTTTTAATTAAATAATTAATTAATTTTTACATATTAATTGTAGTATCCAAAACCGGGTTTTTTAATTTAAAAATCAGTTTTCGAATTTTACCAATTGAAAAAAAAAAACGGTTTACAAACCCGGTTTTTTAAAAATCGACAAACCCTGAGAGAGTTGAATGATAGAGTAATTTCTTGCGGAAACAGAACACTAGACTCATCTATGAGGCCTAAGTGTGAGTGGGCATGAAAACCCTCCCCCACTCAAAAAAAAAGCAGTGTCAATTTTCTTTCTAACTAACATGACTAGTATATATAGAGCATAGTGTTTACAGTATAATGTTTATAAATGTGAAGGAAATCGTCGATGGTAAACATTAATTTCCACTACTTAAACCTAAAACACTAATATCAGAGACTGACAATTTTTGTGGGGTTTCCTAAGATAATATATAGAAAAAGCCTGCCCTGAATTTATAAACACTAATGCTCCAAATAACGTAATAATTTAAATATTGACTGTGATAACTAATACATTAAACATTAGTTTTAATTAATTCAATGTATATTAACTCATTCAAATATACATTTCACTACCGCCTATAGTAAAAACATAATTCTTTCCGTAATTTTATAGTGCTTCACAATGAAAATTGTGTTTTTAGTATCATACTTGTGCATGTATCTTAATCGTGGTAAGTGATAATAATAATAAATTTAACATTCACAAAATACTGTTCTCTATGATTACGAGGGTGTAATTATTCTTGGCATCATATACAGCTTGATTTTTAATTTAAACAGGTTATCTTCATTACATTGAAACAGGAATATCTCGCACGTACCGCATCACTTTAAGTAATGAAATCATACCTAGCTCTTTGCAATAGTTATTGTTTTATTAACTGTTTGATATGATTTCTTTAAATTAGAAATTGACAAAGCGCCATTTCATGTAAGCCAATAGATGGCGCTTGCCTCTTCAGTGTATAATGTGATTAATTGTTAGGGACAATATATAGAATTAAATATACAGGGTGTTCCACAATTATGTAGCCAAGCTATTACAGTAAGTAGATGAGCTCAATATGAAACGAAAACTCTTGTAAGTATTTGGTCAATAATACATAGTTTTACAGGTTGCACCAATGTATGATTTAGATTATCGGGTTTGTTTTAGTGAATCCAAACTCTTCAAATGACCCCACGAATAAAAATTCATAGGGATAATATCTGGAGATTGGGGTGGCTATTTAATAGCACCCCTTCTGCCAATCCGCTTTATGGAAATATTTGATTCAAATATTCCCGAAAAGTGCATGGTGCAGCCAATGCCATTGGGAAGTCAATTATTATTTAAATAAAAAAAATACAGTGTGTTATATGGCAGTAATTATTTTAACTAACTTGGCTGTGGATATAAGGCACTAATGGCGCGTACAATGTTAATCTGAAGGGATAAATATCTTGTAGCTGTCACATTTTCTTCAAAAAAGGACAAATTATGTGCTGACCAATAATTATTTCAGTCCATATACTTATTTTCTGTAGAAAATTGGTATGGGTTCTCTTATTCTGTGAGGATTTTTTACATGCCTAATATCTACAGTTGTGTCTATTTATTTCACCATTTAGGTAAAATATAGCTTCGTCTGAGAATACTAAATACTATGAGAAAATCATTATTGCATCTATCCATTATTATTTTAGAAAATTATAAACGATTATCATAAACGTCTCTATTTGATTTTGTAGAGGTAAAACTACTTGTTCTAAAAATATTGTACATAGGACTTTGGGACACTTGATTATAAAGAGATAACTGACTAGTCGTTGACTGAGAATTCATTTCAATATTTACCAGGACATTAAGATTTCTTTCTTCAGATGTTACTGATTTTGGATGATCAGGTTTGCAAGCATCTTTGGCACTACCGATTTTATTGATTTTGTTAGAAACTTACTGACTGTCGAATCCGTAACAGATTTCCTGCAAGAGTATTTTTTTTTAAATATCCGACACACATCTTTAGGATGTCTTTGTGGCTTGTTTCTATATTTTTGACTAACGCTCTTGTACGTTGCTGATTCACAAATAGGTACAATTTGTTGAAGAAATTTAAAGTAAGGCAAAAGTTATCTTTTTAATTCACTCTAT